GACTGTGTATTAGATCTAGGGTTTGGCCCTTGGGGAACAATCTTATATCGGCAGGTTAATGGATGGAATGACCCAACAGATCTTTCTGTGATTCCTTACTTAGACAAAATTCCCATTGACTTCCGTGCATTTTGCCTGAGTTGAAGACTGTAGAATCAGACCTATAGGTTGTCTTGAGCAGAAAAGTGCTGATGTTTGAACACCAAATAACTGCAGCACATATTTAAATACGTTAGTTAACCAAAAACCCCTGTTCATCTGGCAAATCACTGGTCCTGGCAACACAGGGTGAAATCTTGGCTCCACTGAACTCAGCGTCAACACTCCACTCGCTTCAGCAGGGCCAGGATTTCATGCATAAAGTCATTCCCAGATGACATAGTGCAGAATGATGTTATTGCATGATAAGTAGCACTGAATTACATCCCATGGTTTGACAGTGGCTCCTATGTTCCTCAGTCTAGGGAAGACAGAGACAGAGTAGATAGAAAACATAGCTCAATGCACCAGCCAGGCAAGTTATTTAGTGTATTCAAGGCTTCCCATCCATTGCTTATCAAGGGAGTCGTTTCTTGTTGCTTGCACTTAAGGAAACACCATTGTGGGACTGAGAGGACAGGAACAATGGTGCCCTGTTTTAATGTGATATTTACACAATATAACATCCTGAGGCAAAGGGATAAATATATGAAGCAATGTTATTAAAATAAATAGCACAGTTGTGAAACCTAAGAAGGGATCTACAGCCACTGCAAATACGCTAAGGGCTAATTTCTGATGGGCACTGGAAACCTCATGTTTAAGTCTCGTCTACATTACAAGCTGGCGGTGTGATTCCCCGGCTCATGTACACATACTCATGCTAGTTCAATGAGCTACGAGCGAGCATGCATATAAATAGCAGTGTAGCCGCAGTGGAATGGATGAACCATGCAAGCACATACCCACTGGTTTCAGGCATGTCTCTGCTGCTTCTCCATGTACTACCACAGTTACCCTGGTATTTATACTCATGCTAACTCAGTGAGTATACCCGAGTATGTGTACATGAGCAGGGGAAGTCACACCCCTAGTGTAGTGTAGAGGTTAATTTAATTCTAGTCTTTCCTGGTCTACACAGTGCCCCTGTACTAGCAACTATATACATTCCAAACCCAGGGAGGTTGAGTGACCCATGTATCACTTGGTGGGAGAGGCAGTGAGTTTGATTCACAGACCAAGCACTTGTTCAAATAAAATATTTGAATGTGTTGCGGGAGGAATTGAGAGACTGCTGGGAACTTGAACACAGAGCATTGTTTACAGTGGTCATGAAAGGACTGATACAGTTATATAGTGAAGCTTACTTGCTGCTTTAGTTACTAGCATCTGTCCTTGCTTCAAGCAGGAAGAGAAACTCAGTGCGTAGCGTAAACCTAGACCAAGCAGGGCCGGCGCTTCCATTTAGGCAACCTAGGCGGTCGCCTAGGGCAGCAGGATTTGGGGGGGGGGTGACATTTTGCCGCCCTTGGCGGCAATTCAGCGGTGGGGGGTCCTTCTGCGCTCCGGGTCTTTGGCGGCAATTCTGCGGTGGGTCCTTCACTCTCTCCAGGACCCACCGCCGAAGTGCCCCGAAGACCGGGAGCGCGGAAGGATCCCCACCTAGGGCACCAAAAATCCGGCGCCGCTCCTGAGACCAAGAAAGAATGTAGGTTTTACCTCTTTTCTCTACCAACAATAAAATTACTCAGTCCTACCAGTCCAAAATTTTTCTTAATCTCTTAAAGTAATGACCACCCTATGGGGACCAGAGGTCATTCACAACCCCACTCGGTGCATTTTCCTGCTCTCCAGTGAAAATGTGCACACAAAATGGCTCAGAACGAATGGAATGTTGGTCAGGCCTGTTACATCCCCTGTCCCCTATTATGGCTGACAATGTTCTGCGAGTGCTTCTTTTCAGTTTCACGGCTATGGTGAGAAACATGGCATGTTTTGATTCCTAATTTAGAATGTTTATCCTGAAAGATTCCAGGATCTTCATTTGAAAGATAAACTCATTCCTTGTTTTCTCTTTGCAGCGTGCATTCCACAATAGTGACACCGTGTGCCGTACTTTGTATCAGGGCTTAGCAGACCGTCACAACTATAAATTTAGGACCTTTTCGAACACAAATAACTTCTGGATGGAAACAAGCCAGTTGGCCCATATAGGCAGGTCCATCCTTCAAGGGTGCTAAAAGAATTTTCATAGTGGGGGTTCTGAGAGCCATTGAATTAAACTGTAAACCCTGTATATAATAGAAACCCCTTCAAGCCAGGGGGTGCGGCAGCACCCTCAGCATCTCTAGTTCCAGCACCTATGCCATCCTTTCTAATTAATAGCTGAACATCTCCTCTCAGAACATGCCCCCTATGCCAGGAGCGGGGGGAGTGAGATGTAGCAGCAGGACCTGCATTTGGCAGGAAGTTTCCCATCCAACAGTGGAATTCTCCATGGCTAGATTATGGTACAGAGAATGAGACAGGCTGCCAGTCAGCTTCTGGGGATTGTACAGACCAGGGTTTCTCAAACTTCATTGCACTACGCCCCCTTCTGGCAACAAAAAGTACTACATGACCCCAGGAGGGGGGACCAAACCTGAGCCTGCCCGAGTCCCACCACCCCCAAGGGTGGGGCAAAGCCTGAGCCGCACTGTTCTGGGCAGGGGGCCCAAGGGCTTCAGCCCCAGGCCCCAACAAGTCTAAGCCAGCCCTGGCAACACCATTAAAATGGGGTCGCAACCCAGTTTGGAGTCCCAACCCACAGTTTGAGAACCGCTGCTACAGACACTCGTTTGATCACATGTCACTAAAGTTCCCAGCCAGATAGCCAGTGTGAGGACTGACTTGAGGTGTGTGTAACAGATGTGATACACTAAGCCCACCCAACAAAACACAGTACAATAGGATGAAGGGAAGGTGAAAGTCAAGACTCAGCATGCACCAGACCCCAGCTGCTCCTTGTATACTGCCTTTATTTGATTTTTGGAACTCCCTTTCTATGGAATGAGTTAGTGGGGCCCAATTAGAGTTACTTGTCTGCTAATTCCAAGCTGTTTAGGGCATTGTCTTCAGACTTGTATGAATATTCTGATACATATAAATGAGGGGTGCTCTTTTAGAGCCAGAAGGGGATACCCTTACTCACATTCAGTAATCCCTCATTCCCCAAGGCGTCCCATCAAAATCCATCCCTTTATGAACAGAGCTCAATACTAGGGCCACATTCTCCCCTTGTTTACATGTTGTGCCCCCGCACCCTACCCCCAATGGCTTCAACATAGAATATGAACCTGTGTATCATATTCTGCTCTTGGTTACTCTGAGCTAAAACTGGAGTATATCCATTGACTTGTTGGGGCTCGCCATCTTTTGTAGCTTGAGGCATGGGCCATTTGCAGCTTTAAACTCTGGTAAATAGTGAATTCTCTGTGAAGTCTTTAAATCATGATTTGAGTAACTCAACCTGAGGTTATGGGTCTATTACAGGAGTGGATGGGTGAGGTCCTGTGGCCTGCAATATGCAAGTGGTCAGACTAGATGATCATGATGGTCCCTTCTGGCTTTAAAGTCTATGTACATCATTGACAGGCTGGCGAAGGGAGGACTGAAGCAATAGCACTGGACTGTGTGTGCAGAAAATAACTGGGCATTTTTTTCCCCTGTGGAAAGGTAATTTACGTAAATTTATCCACAACTAGCATATGGCAATAGCTCACAACTTTGTTAATGGAAACCTGGTGATCCATATCACTTGTGTAGGAGACATTTGCTCGGGGGTTAATACAATATTAATGTTAATATCAATGATCGATCAGAGGATTTGCAAGAAAGGCATAAAGTATTTAATTATAATTACATCGGGAATGGCTTTGTAATGGCTACGACATTTGAATAAGGTCACATCTAGCCCTCACCCCTGTTATGTTGTTCTATATTAAATGCCATTCACTTTAAGTGCTGGAAACCTTTCTGAAGTACTCAGAATATAATACTCTGGGTAAATTGAAATATGTCCATTCATTTTTAGAAATATGATTGATATCCTTTGCAAAACAAATGTTAACACACATTTGTACACAAATTTCTTTGATTGTATGTTAGGGAAACTCAAATATAACAGTCTTTCTTAGCAGGCATTTTACAGTGTTCAAAAGAAAGGGCTATTTGCGCATATTAATTCAGCTTTAGCTCTCTGATGTCAATCTGTACATTTATATTTCTGTCCTCTGCATTTTCTAACACATTTATCCAAAAGTTACTCAGTACGCCCGGTCCTGCCTCCATTGAAAGCAATGGCAAATCTCCCATTGTATTCAGTAGGAGCCAATATTGGGCTCACTATCAACCTTTGCTGCAATTTAGTTATCTTTTGTTAAAAATGTCACCCAGTAACAAAGAATACATAGTAAGAAGCATGTTTGTACATTTAGCAGCAGAAAAATATATTTCAAATATACTGTGTAGATTTACTGTAACTACAAACTAAACAGCATTGTCGCCTTGTTTAAAACTATTAAGAAAAACAGTTTTGCATATAAAGCGGTAATACATAAATGTATGTATAAACATAGAGGTGCACACATACATACACACAACTGAGTGCATACATAGATAGAGATACTAAGTACCAACATGCTCTTGCACACCTACATTCTACCGTGAATATGTTAAGGAGCAAATTCTGTTCTCTCTTACAGTGATATGAATCCATGTGCACTGGTGGCCGTGGCTTTATTCTGTGTTTACATCAGCTTAAAGGAGAGATGAATCTGCCTTCGGATGACTGCACAGAATAGCCATTGATTCAATGAGCGTGACAAGCTCCCATCTGAAGGCAGAGTTTGGCCCAAAAGAATGATCCTTTGAAACTTTGGAAGGCATGCTGGGCTGTAACTTCGACATGGTTTGCCACTTTCTCATTTAAAAAAAAGTATTCAGTTAAGTTATAAAAATGCCTAAGGATTTCAAGTTTTATATTGTTGAAAACAAATAAGAATTTATTACCAATTTGTAACGAACACTGCTGCTGGTAAGCTGTAGGTAGATGGCAATATTTTTAACATCAAGAAGACATTCATCATGCATTTTTACAACATGTAAGTGCAGTGATATTGCTCCCTTTCTCAATAACAATATATAAGAATATATAGTATAAATGTACAGTATATATTAGCAACATTGTAAAATAACTTAGTGAAATGTCAAAGCTTCTGGATAAAAATTCAGGTCATGCCTGAGCATACCTTTTGCACAATTTTGCTTAAACTTATCATCTCAGTGACCTTTGTTTACCTTGAATTTATGTTACAAAGACAGATTTTTGTTCTTTATATAATTGCCTATTACACCAACTAGTATCCTGGGCTGTTTGTTTGTTGTTTGCAAGGTTAAGTCAAGCCAAGCCACAAATAAGGGTTCTGTGGAATCCATCGTTAGGGAATGGAAAACAATTAATTGTGCAAAATGTGCTTGAAAAAACATTACTACGCATCGGTCATATCTTATCATTGTACATAATTGTAATTTTTTGTTAAAAAATATCCATCTACAGTGTATAGGGTAATCAAGCTACAATAATTTTAAATGGCGCTCATGATCCTAATGTCAATGTCTCTACATTATAAATCTCACCAGTTTTGCTAAAATTGTATCAAGTACCACTTTGGTGATTGCTTGCAGGAAGAATCAATAAAAATCCACTTAATAGGAATGTACAACTTGTCTCAAAGCAGGTAGGGGGACTTTACTTTTCCCCACATTTTGTCAGTGGATACAGTTTCTTGCAGGGCCGATCCTTCATTTATGCTTACTATATAAAATATGTGCAAGGGCTTTCTTACATCTCAGGAAAAATTGTTTTTAACCATAGATATTGTGGGTCTGTAATATCGGCCATCAAAGTTTACCAGAGTTCCGCAGCCTTGCAATAACTTTCATGCAATTAACTGGAACACTATTTCACTTCCACTGGCTAGGCAATTATGCCCTGAATTGCAACAAAAAATTCCATAATCATGCAATGAATAAGCATATTTATCAAATAGCACAGTGACTGACCTATGCTATATACTACTCAAATAGTCCGAGCCATAATACCGAATGTAGCAAAATAGGATGGGCTAAATTGTTTTCTTGACCCAATTTAAGAAAAAAACTACTAGATTCTCAGCTGATATAAATCAATGGAGCCACACTGGATTGACAACAGCGGAAGATCTGGCCTACATAGTGGAGTTAATCCTAATTTACACCAGTGTAAGTGAAGTCACATCTCCCTTGTCTTTTACAAAGTACGATGTGACAGAAGCAAACTGAAAGTAGATTGATTTAAAGAAGAAAGGAAAATCCATGCAAAGCAAGCTGGTGTCCACGATATTTTAGAAAATAAAACTGCAGTTTCACAAGATGTCAAGGTCATCAACAGTGTTATGAGTTAGATATTAGACTCTAACCTCAGAAAACTAAGTTATTGTGGTATAAATAGCATCTCAGCTGGCTGATGAAGTTACTCCTCACCCTTTCTGAGAACTACTTTGGAAAAAGATGGCCAACTGATGATACTCAGTGATACCAAATATAGACTGTATCACAGAATTTGTATAGACTGTTGTATAGACTGTATCACAGAATTTGTTACCAGGTATGAATGATATCACATTGTCCAGAACTGGAGATTAATTTTTTGGGACTCCAGTAATTGGTATTTATTATCTTGCATATGATACTGAGATCTCAGAACAGGCAAAGGGTCTGGGGCTGAAAGAATGTAATCGATGCTAAATTTAATTTCAGAGTCAGATTTTCCTAGGGAGGAGTTGTTTAGGCTCTGTCTGTTGGAGGTGTTGTTTGGAAAGAACCCATGAGGCTCCAAGAGTCTGGGTCCAGATTCGGTTGGCTCGCATTTACTTTCATGACAGGAGATGCTGTATAAACCAGAATCCATGGAAGACGATTCAGGGGAGGAAGGATCTTTCCCTCCACTTGGTCTCAGCTCTTTGTGTTCCCTTTTCATGTTCCTTCTTCTCCGTCTCCGCCTGTAATTCCCATTTTCAAAAAGATCCAGCATGGATTCACATCCAGATGCAAAGCTCCAATAGTTTCCTTTCCCCTTCTCATTCCCTTCTGTTCTGGGAACCTGTATTCATTTAAAGGCAGTTCAGTGTTTGTATGTGTTACAGATGCTGCTGCTTAACATCTGTGTTTATTTACATTCAAGAATGGTGTAAACATACATGACAAGCCATTTAAACCCATTCTCTTTCATTATACTACTTGTAGGCAAAATCCAGCCTCTTCAATTTGCTTTATATTAACATAAATCAGAAAAGAACATACACATTACCTCTTCAAATGACAGCATGTAGGCTGCAGAGAGATTTACAATTATTTGTAGCTGAATTGTTTGGCTCCCCCCCTCTTCCAACATTTCTTTGGGAGACTATTCCTACATAAAGATATTTTCAGTTGCGCACAGCATGTATGCAAATATACAGTTACTGATCTTACCTTTACAAAACAACTGTTAAGTGATAAGTTATGTCGGATGGAGTTCTGCCAGGCTCTTTGATTTGATCTATAGTAAGGAAATTTCTTCATTATAAAATCATAGATGCCAGACAAGGTCACTTTGTTTGAAGGACTTTGCTGGATGGCCATTGCAATTAAGGCAATGTAGCTGAAAAAGGAAAATTCAGTGTTATGCCATTGCCGTGTATGTGTATATTTTATAACTAGGGTCTACCCCTGTCTCTCACACTCATACATAGATGTATATGTGATTCTTATATAAAATTATAAAATTCCTCCTTGTCCTACATTTTGGTTGGGTCCCTCCTTGACTTGAGATGGCTCTTACAGACATCAACCAGTCTGCTCACAATCCTTTTGCTTTAGTCTAAGAGCAAGATCCCTATTTAACACACATTGATTCATACAGCATGATACACAGGCATTACTTACAGACAATTGAAACCCAGTCAGACTGTTTCTCCTTTCACTCAGCAGGCAGTGCTTAGATTTAAAAAAACACCCAAATCTCAAACCGCTCAAGGAAAGTTTCCCTAATCTATTATGCTCCAGTGAAATGTACCAGACTGTGGGACACCATCATTCCACTGCCTCCTATAACTTCAGGGCTGGAGAGTTCATCACCTTGGCTAATTAGAGGGACACTGGATGTTATCTTTCTCCAGACCTATTCATGAACCCACATGGTGCATCTTTGTTCAATTGTGGGGACATCCACATTTATTTCCTTAGTGAGCATCCGACAAATTTGATTAATTTCCCTCAGTGTCCCTAAAAAGGGCAGAAAAGGACAGCTAAAATCTGATGATACAAAGGAGTCCAGGACATTAAAGCCAGAAGTTTCACTTTCCCCAAAGTGAAGAGATGAGGGAAGAAGGAGGAGTGGTGGGATGGAAGAAAAAAATACTTATTTCAAGGGGAAAAAAGAAATGCCTCCCCCCAGTTCTCTGTGCCTTGAGGAAACTACCTGGAAGGATACCTGTGCTGGTTACCAAGGGGGAATTCCCATTATCTGACAGTGCAGACAATTTCCCTGGACAGAGGAAGACTTTGAAAACTTAACCTTACCTGTATGCTGGTCTGGTGAATTTTTTCTCTTCGTCAGAACTACAGGTTGGATAGTCATCCCCATCATAATTAAAACAGTTATAGGGGTACTGTGTATTATCAAACATCTTCCTGCTCTTGGTTCAGCTCCTGTGGAGTGAGAGAGATGGAGTGATGTTTCTCTTTCTCTGTGCCTGGGCTCCCTCCTCCCTTTTTCCCTCCCCTCTGTCTCATTCTCTCTCTCTCGCGGCGCACACACACACACACACACTTCCTCAGTGTTGGGGTGGAGATTGTTTTTGTAATTCTTCAGTCCCAGACAGCCAGTCTGTTAAGATATTCCTTTTGTCGGTGTTGTTGTTGCATCCAATCTGCTTATAGGAAAGGCAGCTAATAACTGATTAAATTGGTGAGTTCTCCCATGAACCTTTGAACTTGGGTGTGTACTGCCAGTAGCTCTGCTCCGGCTCTCTGGGTGGTCTGTGCTGGAGAGGGGCCAGCCGTTTTGCCATCTTTACATACACAATGTGACAAAAGCAAACAACATGATGTTAATGAATCATGCTTCAAGGTTTGTTCTTGCAAATTAAACTTTGAGAACAAAGTTTCTCCACCCTCCCCTGTTTCCCCCCCCGCCCCCTGCTCCCTTCTCTGCTCAGCAGGGTGGCTTTTTATTTATTTATTTTTAGAACCCGACATACAATAAACAGACATTCCAGCCAATAATGCATGCTGGCCCTGATCTGTAATCTATAATAGACATAAATTATATTTCCATGACTAAAGGAAAATGTGTACATTCAAAGAGAGCAGAACAGAGGAATCCGAGGGACTACTGTCAAGCAGGAAAGTAAAAGGAAAATAGCTGTAGGCAGAAGAGCTGCCTGTGTGGGCTTTGATCTGGAGGATAAATTAGACTAATAGCCCTGTGTGTTGGCATCCAATACAGTAACAATTTAATAGTATTTCAATGCTTTGGAGTGTTTTCCAACAAGTGACGTAAACCAAAGACATGACACAACGTTTCAGGGGGACTAAAAAGGTGTAGGCCACATGATAATTACATGATTTGAAGATGGCTATTTCCCCAAGAACT